TTTATGACTCATGCATCATTAATTACACACTGTACTAAGAATTTAATGTTCTTTTCATGCACTGACAGGTAAAATTAAAAAGTCTTTCAGTCTCCTTCAGATTTACTAACTCAAATACTTCCAAACCAAAACTGATATCATTAAATTCCAATTAAAAGTTTATGATGAGAAAGACAAGATTCTTTAGATATGAAGATATCACAATTTCAAACAAACTAGATGTACTTTTAAATTTAGCTAATCACAACACCATGGGAGAAAAAATTAAAAGAAGATGAGACCAAAAGAGAGATGAAAATGAATTCCAGTAACACATTTATTCTTAAACAGAGAAACAAAGCAAACATTTATTAGTATTCCTATCATATCCCAGTGAAGATACTTTGAAAACTCAGATTTGTTCTGGGATTTTTTGGTCTTTGTTGCGGGGTAGCTCTTAGTTTTAAATTGTCTTTAATGAATTTCCTCTGTTAAATTCAGAATCTATTAAACAAAAGAGTAAAATCACCACCATAGCTAAAAGCTCAGAAAAAGAGAGAGTACAGCTGGCTGGATCTCATGCATTTTTGTTTGAAACGAATGTTTGTTTGAATGAAAACAGAACTACAATGACCAATCTGGATAGGATAAAAACACCAACTAAACTCCAGGATCACATCTCTGCATGGAATATGGATCCTGGAACAAGGCTTTGTTATTAAAGAGTACAGACAATTGCTAAACAAGGGGGAATACTCTCAAGAGACAGTTCTCTGAAGGCTTCAGTGACTCTGGATTGCATTATTATTCATATGCTCACATACAATAAATTTTGATTTGCTTAAAGCATAGGTTTCCCACTCAGATTACAGGAGTACTGATTCCTGAGAGTCAGTGCTAAGTGGCAGGGTCCTTACAGGAACTGGACCAGAGGTCCTAGGTAGGAACTCCCAAAGCTCCCCTGATTCTCTGGGACTCCTATTACCACAGTAGTAAGAGCTACAGTCACTTGTGAAAAGTTTCCCAGAGCTGCAGGTAGTGGTGCCTCTTTGAAAAACAAACAACAAAAAAGCAAGCATAAATATCTACAGATTAAAGAAGAGGCATGCAACTTTATCCTGAACTGCATTCTAGGTCCCCTCCTTGGTATGATTTCTCTTTTTACTCTCTTGAATTTCTGCATTTCATATTTGTAAGTACTTTTTAACTTTTGCCCCAAATCCTTATAGGGAGACATTTACCATCCACTAGGTGTCATATTAACCTTACTGATAGTACTGAATACAAGAATGACCAGAGTTAGAGTAAAGAAGTTTCTTGAAATTTACATCCTGCCCAATTCTGACAGACAAACATTTACACAGTGTGTTCATGAGAAGATCAAGTGAAAGGAATGCAATGATTCTGTGCTCAGAGTTAATCCTCCTTCCTTCAGGAAACAGATATATAGTATACGCAGGTTTTCTCTAGCAGAAATTTCCAGCACCCATTCAACAGCGAATCTTCTAAGCCAAGGATTACCAAGACTGTATAACAGGCCATTAATCCTCATGCTAAGGAAAGCAAGTAGCATTTCCTGATTTTGCTTATGTGGATGCATGTCAGTAAGCACAACAGGCAAATAAAGACCTAGCAATAAATGTCCTTAGGTAGTAAACTGGACAACAGTCATTTACAGATGGGCATAGGAGCTCTATGACTTTTCTACAGCACTCAGTTTCGTGAAAAAGACTGTATTCAGAAGCCAGAACTTGTTTTTAAGACTCTGTGAAAGAGTATGAATTTTTCTAGAAACTGCAATTTGAATAAAATCTACATCAAAATGAAATATTTATACTTTGATATAAATAAAAGTTTCTCATGTTTATTTTGAGATTGTTTAAAAAGGAAAAAAAAAAACATAATAGAAACAAACTCCAAATATGAAGTTTCCATAACCTTTTTCAAAACAGTGGCAAACCTTTGCAGTGGGACAAACAATAAAGGGCTACCAAGTGTATGTAGTATATTTTTGTCCATTCTCACTGTACTTTTATTTCCACTAACAGAAGATGGTATCTCTGTATGCAAAACGTTAACAAAGTTAGAAATAATGTCATGCTAATGCTTGGTCACATAATAGTATGAAAATACATCAGAATTGGGGAAAAACTGATAAAAATTTCTTTCAACTTACTGGAACTTGTATTACTGGTAAGTAAGGAAGACAGGAGAACCAATACATGTATTTGCTAAAACACAGAAAAGTTCATCACAATCATATTACCTGGTTCAGTTTACAGAAATAGAAAGAATATAGAAATAAATAGATAGGATAGGAATAGATAGGAATATATGCATGTCGAACTGAGCATAAATTCTCAAAATTGAAGGTTGCAAAACATGAAGCAGCAGAACAGAGAACACACTCATGCTTTAAAAAAGAAAATTTCTTCCATTTTGCTCGTGGTAAAGCCTTCTCAGCAGTAAAATGTTTTTAAGAAAAAACATTAAAAGTGCATTCCACAGCTAAGAGAAATGGAAAAGAGCCAGCACATCTGATTTTGCTACATATTTCATGAAGATACTCCCTCATGGATTGATATAGAAGTACTTGGTAAAATTTGCAGGAGAAAAAATAAAGGCAAAGCACTTTCTTTTTTTATGTCTTCAACAACCATTGCTCATATCAGAAAAAAGAGATATGCACTTGGTCTTTAGACACTGATCCAATTAACTTACCAACCAGAAATTTAACTGTAGATGTTAAGTGATGCTTTACAACCAGCAATAAGGCATTTAAACTTCTGGTCAGCTGAAAAGCGTTTTCTCTCAAGGGAGTTATTTTACTCATAACAAAACTCTACTGTTACAAAATCAATAATCCTACATGCAATTCCATAAAAGACTACTTAGCAGTACTGGCATAAAAGCAAAAATATTACCTTGCTTCATTTAAAACTAGGTCTCATCTATCAAATATGCAACAACTGGAATATGACAGAAATTTGGCAATTAGTGTAACATTAAAAATATCTTAGCATGTTTTATGGACATAAGTTGTTGGATTCAACTTTTTTTTTTTTTTAATATTGTCACCATTTATAGTTGTCCCTCGTCATTCATTTATTACGGCCCCAATCTGCAGTACCCCAAAATGGGCATACTGTGTGTATAACACAGTATTCTATAACATTTTCTACAGTTTAAATAAATACACTGTGTCTCTTCTCTCCATTCATTAAAACCAGCTTTTTCAAAACCTTGCTTACATAACCATTCCAATACTTCAATTTAGGTATTATACTTCATTGTAACTCATTTTCAGTCAATTATGAGATGCATCAATACATATTAGAAAACAATGTACCCACAAGAATGGAAGCACATAGTAAATTTATCAAGAAACACAGTTATTATCTAAATTAAAAAGCATATTACTATCACTGTTTCACACTGGACATCATATTTCATCAAGTATGCAAAAAATGATACTCAAGTCCTTTAAACTTAAACTGTATCTGTCAAATATACATTATCACACTTTTTTTTTTTTTTTTTTTTTAGAAAAGCAATCCCTCCCCAGTGTTCATTAGAACTTTCTGGAATGCCCTATACTGCAATATACTGATGAGCAATTAATTTATGAATTCAACCTTTCTGAACAGCATTTCTACAACTAAAGGTCAAGCTCCAGACACTTTCTAAACATAAAGAGCATAGGCAGACCACATTTTCTGCCAAGTTAAGAGTTTACAAATGATTTTGCAGACAGCAGTGGACCTTGCTCTTGTATTATTTTGACAAAGCATTGTATAGTACTGCTGCTATAGACCAGGGAAATGCTTCAGATGTACAAGTTTGAACTGCAGAAAAATGAGTTGGAACTTTGCTCTCTTCCCAATAATTTAATGGACCTTGTGCTTGTCAAATGCGTTTTCTGAAACTGTAGGTTAGATTTATTACAGTATTTTTAAAAGGAAAAGAGAAACATGTTAAAAATACTGAAAGCTTAACATACCACTCTCTATTTGTACTCATGTAAAAAATGCACTTCACAGGTTCAAGTAAATAGAACAAATGAAGCTTGGTTAAAGACAAGTAAGTGAAACTTGACATTAAATGAGTTCAATTCCTTTATTACATTCACATTGTAAAAAGCGTCACACCAAGAACTTTCAAAGCCTTCAGCTTTTATGAGCCTAGACTACAAGATTTTAAAAGCTTAAATTTCTTTGGCTGCAAAACACATTGTTATCTGCTCATATAAGAAGCTCTGTAATCAAGTGCACGTTCAGTTATTAAACTTCTCAAATTAGACAACAAAATAAAAGCCATCCCGAAGAGCAGCACCGTGAAATCACAGTCATCTAATGAGTTCCTTTTTTTTTTTTTTTTTTTTTGCTTTAAAATGTATTTGTTCATTGTCAGCTATTCTTTCAAACCGTAGACAACAAAACAAGCACTATCACATTTATGGTTTGGAAAAAGTACAAAGCAAGTATTTTCTGTGAATTACCTAACATAACTGAGTTGATAAGTATGAGCTGCAATTACAAAGCCAGTATTTATAAAAAAAATTATCCCAAAATAATGTCCAAAATTACTTAAGAGAAGACATAGTTGTAAGAAATACATTGTAGAAGCTGAGGGATGTTTTGACTTTTCAGTGACCTGTACAGTGTCTGTACTGTAAAGACATAAGATAACTCCAAAGAATTAGCTTGGGTAAATATTTACAATAGAGTAGGTGAGCAGAGAGAATCACAAAGTTTTTCAGTGAAGTTGTGAGACTCCCACTGCCTCCAAAAAATCTGCAAAAAGTTTTATTTGCATTCAGCATGAAGAACATTCATATCATTTTAAGGTATCTTCATGGATTACTCAAAACATTCATTAATGATTAGCTTTAAAAAAACATTACACTAACAAATTTCATTTCAAAGACATATGTCACAAACAATTTCATGTAGCTAATTGGTAATAATGCATCAGAAACCAAATAGTAATGGCCTTCAAATTCTCAAAGAGACTATACTTACCTGGTCTAAAAGATCTTCAACTTTTTTTTGCCATCCATCCCTGGCCGCATTTTTTTCACGTTCTTTCAGCTGCAATAGTTGAGTCATAGCTGCTTTCTTATCCTCTTCATGTTGAAGCCTCAGCTCTTCACGAAGCTTATTACACTCCTGTCTAAAAATAAAGGTCAAATAACTAAAATGCAAAATAAAAACTTAGCAATAACTGGAAAAGCTTAGATAATACCAAAAAAACCTTTGTTTTACTTTTCATTTGCTGTTACATTTGTACTTAATACTTACTTTATTTCTTATTAAAAGAAAACAAAGACAAAATTTAATACTTGCCGAAGATTTTCTGTCCATTTGATTTCCAAGTCACGAGCCATTCTGTCAACTTTGAACTTTTCTTCTTCTCTCATGGCAGCAATCATTGCTTCGTGCTGTTGTCTCTCCTGATCTAGTTCTCCCTGCAAACACAAGCTTTACAATAGAGACTGATCAGCAGCAAAAAAGTATTTCAAACCTTACATTTATGTATTTATAACAAAAACATCTGTTACAATTGGCTTATAAGCTTTGGACTATACTTTTTCACTGTGTTGTTCCTGATTTCACCTATTAATGCCTATACTTCCACTGATATTTCATACCTGTGGAATGCAGTTCTGTACTCCTCTAAAAAGTTTTTAAAAGGAATTTGCAAATACGTCATTTTGAAAATAATCTTTTCCAATATTGCTATTTGGAAACACAATAATTTGTTACAAGACATCTCAAGAGGTCTTCCAATCCTATTCAGTACAGGACTAACTTCAAAATTAGAGCAGGCTGCTCAGGTTCATCAGGTTCTTGTCAAGTTGTTAATGTTTCTTTTAATTAGCAATTAGTGCTTGAATTACAAACCTCGAGCCATCTGGATTAGATACACAGTTCATATATCTTTTTATTTCTTGACCAATAGAAATGGGGTTTTATTCTGAATATAGAAAAAACAAATAAACAACAAAAAAAAAACCACTTTGGATTTCATATCAATTTCTGTTCAAATTTTACCATACTAAATAGTATTATGTACTACCAAGATTCATGCTTACAAGAATATTTTTCAGCAGTGCTGGCTTCATTCATGAGAAGCAAACATTGCCATCTAAATTTAATATTTTTTTTTTCATGTAAGAATTTTTCTGTACTATTTTGTCTATTTATAGATTTGAAAATCTCTTAAGATAAATGTTATTGCCAATAGTCTGCTATATATGAATATTTAAATGTGAATAAATGAAGAGATAAGATTGTAGTAGCTTGTATGCACACTTAAAGAAATTACAAAAAATACAGAGGAAGTTATAAACTGTAACAGGGTGCACATCATATGACTATAGATTAAAAAAAATAATAACAATATCCTGCTTCAAGCTGCTCCTTTAAAGAAAATTACAGCAGTATGAAATCAGATTCAGGGATATTTTTTCTTTTGCTTTACTTCAAATATTTGCTGTAATCTTGTAAATGTGCTTTGTTCATTGAGGAAAGAGGGGAAAAAAAAATTATGCCCAGTATTGAAGTATCGAAGAATGGCTTAGGTTGGAAGGGACCTTAAAGATCATCTAACTCTAACCCCCTGCCATGGCAGGGATGCAACCCACAAGATCAGGTTATCCAAGGCCCCATCCAGCCTGGCCTTGAACATCTCTAGGGATGGGGCACCCACAGCTTCTCTGGGCAACCCATGCCAATGCCTCACTACCCTTACAGTGAAGAATTCCCTCCTAATGTCTAATCTAAATCTATCATCTTTTAGTTTAAGGCCATTCCCCCTTGTCCTATCATTATCTCCCCAAGTAGAGTCCTTCTCCATCCTTTTTATAAGTCTCCTTTAAGTACCGAAAGGCTGCAATGAGGTCTCCCCAGAGCCTTCTCTTTCTCCAGGTTGAACATCCCCAGCTCTCCCAGCCTTTCATCATGCTCCAGCCCTCTGATCATCTTTGTGGCCCACCTCTTGTCAGTAGATGACCTACTGACAGATAACTTGCAGTTCTATTATTTTACATTCATATCACAGCTTTTCTTTCTTAAAATTTTATAAAAATAATAACTAAAAACAAACAAAAACCCCACCTCTCAGTGTAATCTTGTATCTCATTCTAATGTGATTTTAATGAGGTATGAGTAGGTGATGGTAGCCATACTACCTGGAGTTCAGAGTGCTGAGCTTACCCACAAAACCGTGTTAGGCACATGTTTCAATGAGTTCTAGAGCCAATAGTGTTCTGGGTCATGTTTATCATCAAGACATGAAACTGTCTAGTACAGCAGAGGTGTAACACATATCTTTTTCACTTTTTCATGAGATTTTGTGGACTCAGGCATCTGAGAAGTATGACTCGATACAGTTTGTACAGACTTACTGTGGCAGGTACAGTTCATATAGCTCCTTCAATAACGTATACATTATAACATGTCTTGCCATTTCAATAACAAGACTGAAATCACAGTGATGGTACTTTGCACAAATTATTTTCCAATGCTATGGTTACCTCAACATTATACAATGAATCTGTAGTTTCACGCAGTCTTGCTCTTGTTAACTCTAGTTCTTTCTGGAGTATTTCCTGAGCTTCCTGAAGACTGGAGATATGTCCTTCTGCAGTACCAAGGCCTTGTTCACTTTTTCGTACAAGATCTTGCAGACGACAAACCTACAACATATCAAAAAAGGTAACTTATATAATTATTACTAACAGCTCAGTCAGCTTGGTTTCATTTTCTTCTATTTTTAATTCCAATCTTTTTTTTTTCCTTTGCACAACCTGTTCTCCTTTAATATCACTTAATGTTTGTGTATTAAAAAACAAAATCTTGTAATACTGGAAGAGCAAACAAAGATTCAGATTAAAGGATTTTTTACAAGGAAAAAATCCAACTTATAAATGAAGCACTTTGGAAAGGAAAGAGGTTACATAAAAGTTCTGAAATTACCTGTAATTTTACTGTGAGAAAGCATATTTTATGCAAATTAAATTAACAAGAAACACTATTTCTAAACACATAAGCTTTAATCTAATGGATAAATTGACTTGTACCAGGGTATATTTGTTTTCAGATTGCTATCTGTCCATAAATTAGTCTGTAAATTATAATAGTATATAGTGTTTGTAAATTAAAATGTGATTATTTCCCTAACTGCAACATAACAATACATTTATGTGTAACCTGTTTGTACTTCAGTTTCCCATTTGTATAACAATAAAATAGCAAAACTTCTTTTGCTTTAAGTAAGAATATTAGAAATTAAACATTGCATATTAAACAGAAAAACTTTTTTTCATATATAGGCTAGAAAAGTGGAATAATGACAGGCAGATGAGACCCAAGAAGAGCAGCAAAAGAGAAGTTTTTTTCAGAAATAACAGCGTATCTCATTGCCTCTTCATGTTGATATAAATATCAAGGAATGAGTGTCTTAAAACATTATCTTTGGGTTTCTGTGTAACGTTAACTACTTCTTCTGTTTGTTAGCATAATTATATAATTATTAATTATGTGCAAGTACTGAAAGCTGTTTAAAATGGTCCTTAGTAAAACCATCAGAAATCCTTTGCATGGAGAGGGCAGTCTAAGAACTGGCCCTATCAGAGACACAGACAATCTTTCTAAAAAATCTTGATTGGTCAAAGATGAAATGAGGAGAATAAAATAAAATAAATAAATAAAATAAAATAAAATAAAATAAAGAGGAATTAACCTAGGAATCTAAAGGGTAAAAAGGCAACTTAATCCTAAAATATGTGAAAAAGGTGGTATCGACTTAATCAGAACACTCAAAGAAATTTCTGGCAAGTATTTAAGACGATGCCCTTCTTAAGTAGCTTGATGCTAGGAATAGGCTTAATGAGGCTTGAATCTTCCTTGTCCTTTGGCTAAGATAGTTGCTGTAAAAAAAAATCTGTCAACAAAGAAAACAAGATGGCATAGGTTCAAAAACAGCCTTTTCAGCAAAGATGCTGAGTTAATGTCTGCAGAAAGCGATAAATATATTCCTACCATTAAATGAAGTCTGTAACTTAAAAACAAACAAAAAAGGAAGAAGAAGCAGAAACATAAAAAATAAGCTAAAGATGTGCCAGACATTTCACAGACAAGTTTCTTCCAGATCAGTGAACACACTGAGAAACTATTCTCAATTGTCAATATTATAAACTCAAAAATAAAAGTGTATTGGGATATGCGTTTAACACAGATTGCATATATCAATATGTTTTAAATAGTTTTGCTCATTATAAGGAAGTGTTGCATGTCATCTTTTGCTGGAAATATATGAAGACCATCTGCAAGTTAGGAAGCTGACTAAAATTTACAGTATGTTAATTAAAAACCAATGTGGGTTTAATTACAAGTTATTCTTTCCCCTCTTTGTCTCGACATCCTTTATATAGAGAGATCTTAGTAGCTAAAGTGAAGTTAAGCAGAGTAAAAACAAGCACAGCTATTTATGTCAAATTTTTGTACTTTTTGCTTTATTAATTTTGTAGAAGACTATAAAATCGTTTCTCAGAAGGAGTTGAGTAACTTATGCTTGAAGAATATTCCACTTTAAATAGAAATAATACTCTGCACAGACTGAACAGTGTAGACCTTGCTTTGCACTGGAATCTAAGCACAAACTGAGTACAAGCTCATTATTGATTAAATGTGATCTAATGCACAGGACTATTAGCTGATACAATTAAGTTAACACTTACCTCCTGATTGGCAGATGTTAGTTTTGTTGTCAATTCTTCTCTCAGGTTTTCCAGCTCTTGTCGAAGCTGATTCTTATCATCCTCCAAATGCAGTTTCTCTTTCTCAAACTGCTGCTCCAACTCCTTCAGAAATAAGAAAAAATGTTAAACATCTGTGATAAGGTTATCAAAAAGTACAGGCATACCACATGAAAATTCTTCTTCTTTGCACAAATAATATTCCTGATCTCAAGCAAGAATTGTCCTTTCCTTGAAGTGTTAAAACATGAACATTTACTTCTATTTACAATAGAGGTATTAATTTTTCATCTTATTTTGTCTCTAACATCCTTGATTAATCACGAAATAAAGACATACAGGACTTCCTTCTCAATGATTAGTTTCACTTTGCATTTAATTAGCAAAATCATTAAAACTACATCTACTTTCACAGTTCCGCAATCCATCAACACTTAAAAAAATTTCACTTTGTATAAAATTACACTGATAATGCTTATCTGTTGGCCTTCAACCATTTACCTCCTACACATAACTGCAAAGGCAATAGGAAAACTTAAAATCCAGACTGAGCTTTAAGAAGTTTTTCATGCTGTTACTATTAAAAATAGATATCTAAATAACCACATCATAAATATAAATTTTATATAGAATCCAAACTAATCTAGAATTTGTCCTCAAGTTCAGATATGTGGAAGGAATCAGATTAACACTGTTTTCCTTCAATTGCTGTAGAGTGACAACCAAATTCTGTTGTTTTCAGAGGACCTGATGAATCACTCTGTGACAAATGATGCTTAAGACTTGTACAATCTTTCTTGTTTGCACTATGAAATATGCTGTGGCAAAATTTCATTGGTACTATTCAGACCCTATTCTGATAACTGAGTAATTAGATCTTTTATGACACTTGTCAGTACAGCTGTGCAGTTCTGAAAAATTATTAGCAACTCTATTTTCATAATCCTTCTATAAGCTGTAAAAACGGCATCAGTACATTTTATAGATGGAAACATTGAAGCAAAGAAATATTAAAGCCATTTCTTCAGAGTCCTATTCTCATTATTTACAGAACTCATGTCCCATTTTTTCCAGACTACTAAGCCCCAGATGACTTTCCTAGTCTTTCAGTCCCAAAGAAATCCTCATGTTGTCTACCCAAAGGCTTCTTGTACTATGTTCTTTCCTCAGATTAGACTCAACTCCTCTCAGCATTTGAGACCTCTGTGTCTTCCTTGAATTACTCAGAAAACAAACAAACAAAAAAAGGGACATACATTTCACAGATATAGTATACCAATTAAGAAATACTGAGATCTAGACCCTGACATCTTTTGATAGTTAACTTCCCCTGACTAGAATCAAGTTTCACAATTCTCACATTTATAGGTGTTCCCTGTATTAACTAATTTAATGATTTAAGAACAACTATTTTATGTTCTTTTATTCTCTATGTTACTTTTAATAGCTATTTTTTTTAAACAATTTTTGTAAGGTACCCAGAACATAAGATAAAAACACCGCTGATGCAAAGATGTTCTAAAATAACAGATATAAAAAGATTTAAATATTTTCATCAGGTGTACAGAAAGACCATTACATATTGGAAAGCAATGCAATTGCAGAAGGCAACCATGTCCCCTAGTAAATTATTCTTCCTAAGCATCAGTGACTACAGCAGCAATATTTTAATAAAACAATAATGTAACAAAAAAGATACTATAAGGAAAAAAAAGAAGAAAAGAAAAAACCCACAATGTAACAACAACAAAAGATCTCTGTAGTTTCAAGTCCAACTGGCTGTGACTCTGCCTGTCACAGAACTTTTTTTCCTTGGGGTTAGTGTAAGAGACTCACCAGGCCCCAGAAACATCCTGCTAAGTTCAGTGAACTTTAACAGAATTCCCAGGTTCAGTTTGCCTAAATACCAGGATCAACGGCAGCTTCAACAGGTCCCTGCTATATGCTGCCATATACTTAGATCTTCTGAGGTCCCTTCCAAACTGGGTTATTTTAAAATTATTTTAAAATTCTAAATTCAGCTTTCAGGTACCTACCACTCCAGACATATACGCAGTATGGGTACCCTAGCACAGGTACGGGAAGCTGATCTAGGACAAAACACTTTTAGTTTTCCTGACAGCACTTATTTATGGGAGAGCAGTGCTGATATCAAGTCTGTGTCAAACCTCAGAGGAGAATGGGTAATGCTCCTGTTATCACAGATCTGATTTCCTCTTCCCCAACCTTCTTGGTTTTGCCTACTGCAATATCCTCAGCTTGCTCGTACCTTGCTTACAGGTTGCAAGCTGCACAGCTCCACAGAACTGCAGTTTCCTCTGCTTTATATCCCAAACGTAAATGTAGTATCAACTTGAGACATGTAAAACAACAGCAAAGGGAAATAATTTACAATCTACAATCTATATCCTCTGAAAAGTAACTTTAAGGCATGGACTTCTTCTTTTTTGGTCAGTAATGGATATGATATGAGTAGATTTCTACCTGTTGCTGCACAAAACCAACTTAAACAAGTTTTGAAACCCTCCATGTTCAACAAGCTTGAAACAATAACTACCTCAACTGGAAACAGGCTGACTTTCAGGTAGTAAAAAGACATTACGCATAAGCAACAGATTTTTTCTGGTTTAAAAGTGTAAGCTTAGCTATTTTATAAAGCTCAAAAAATGAAAACATTCATCTCAATGGTATCTTTAAGTATGAGCAATACATCTTCATTTGGCAATCTGCCAGTGGGAAATTCTTCAGAGTGAGGATAGCTTCAGCAGTTAATGCAATTATTCTTTGCTCTCTAACCCACTCTGAATTGTTTCCAATGTTCCATGTACGACTCACTAAGAGTCTCAGAGTTAAAGCTAGTGCTTAGGAGTCCATAAATAAGAATTTTTATGTATTTGGTCCTGAAATGTGGAGAAATCAAACAATACCAGTAAGTACTGCTTGGAGTAGCAGAGAGAATTCCTTATTTCGTTATTTATAGATAGATAGATAGATATCGATTTATATAAATATTTATTTATTGATTTATTTATTCCTTATTTGTTCCTTTACCATAAATAATCTATCTCCCCTTAAGAAAAACAGGGAACACTAGTTAAATTACAGTTAAAAACTGCAATTCTTTTGCAGATATGTCTTTGTGTTTACTGAACCTAAAATTAATGCTCCTACAGATAAGTTTTCTTCTGTATAAGAGTAAACCTAGGAATGAGAAAACCTCAGTATCTTTTCAAAGAAGGCAAATGAAGTCACAAACAAAGATGACCCCACCCTACCCCCTAAAAAAACATCATCTTACTGAAGTGAAGGAAAATATTCCTAGACACCTTTACAATACATTGTTTTAATAAACGGTATTTTTAAGTTACAAACAAAGTAATCATGAAAGATCAGATGCATATATTTCTCAGAGAACTACTTCCATTACCGAGAGACACAGAAGAAATCTCTGTGATTTATTCAAAATAAGTTTAAGAAGCAACACATTAGTATAATAATTTGGGGAAAAAAAAAGTCCAAGACCCACACCACTGCCTACACCTGTGTTTCGTGTTATATTTCTTGTGGACCAGAAGAGCACAACAAAGCCTTTACATTCAATGATTAACATTTATCCCATATCTTTTTTATACAGCAGAACTTGTGTATAACATATATACAATCAGACTACGAAATAATACGTCAAAATTTGTCCTCTCATCCCAAAAGGTGAATTCTGTGAAAGTGAAGAGCCTTTAAGTTTCAGTATTCTAGTCAAAGGTAAATTAATAGTCTACATACAACTAGCATGATTTTATACGTTAGGTACAGATGTTGTCTTCTGAGCATCCATAAAGTACTAATATATTATCTTTTTGAATTTATGGACTGTTCATGTTGAATTGTAAATAACTTTTAGCTTCCTTCAGAAAAACTAATCTTGAGTGATATTCCAACCATTCTGCATATGGATCACAAAACTGGAAAAACACACCTACTACACTTAAAAGTGGTAGTCTTCATCACAAAGAAAGATGTTTTGAGCTGAGAATTTTTCTTCTGTATGCAGAAAAATAAGATTATTTGTTTTTGTAAGGCATGTGTTACTTTATAATAAAGGCTGAGTAGTTTCTTCAGAAAGGCCCAGCAAATCTGCAGGTAGCTCCAAATAAGACTTGCCATTCAACAAAACCATGCAGTACAAGCCTCAAATTATAATATTTGTGTTTTTTTGGAATATGTTTGATTATTCAGAAAAAAACAAACCTACCATCTGCAGTTTTTTCTTATCTTTATTAGCATTACTGTGTGCAGCCTCGATTGCAGTATGGTGTTTCCAGGTCAATTCTTCTAAAGTCTTTGAATGAGCTTCCTTCAACTGTGCAGCCTCTCCTTCTAATCTTGCTTGCAGTTTTACCAGCTCCTTCTCATAATATTCACGTTGTGTCTCCCTTGCTTCATTTACTTTCTACAAAAGATGAAGAGAAAAAAAATTTACTTCTATTCAAGGGTGACAAAATCCTAGTACCATTCCAGTAAGATGAAAAAATACAAAACATTACTGATGACATAAATCAACAAAAATTAACTTTCATACAAAGCAAATTGAGTGAACACTAAGCATTGATTAAACCGGTACGTAACCATAAACTAGTTTAAATATATCCATGCAAAACAATATATCCATTTAAAAATCTTTTTTTTTTTCTTTTTCACTATTTAATCTGGGGAAACAGCCATCAGGTATCAAGTCTCATTGGTTTCAAACACGTGCAGCACCTTTTCATAGACTTTATTTTTTTAATTTATTATTTAACCATTCCACTTTTCTTTTTACCAAGACACTTTTGATACTAGGCATCTATGCATATCACAGTAAGTTATATGAGATTGCTTAAAAGATGTCCAAAGCAGTCTGAGCAGTATCTAATCTGATCTCCCTCTGCTCTCACTTAAAACCCTACGTTAGTTGTTCTATGTTAAAACATGACGTACACTTGGAACACGCTAATATAGGTCCTAGTCCAGTCTTACCAAACTTAAAAATGAAAATACATTCACTTTTTTTTCCCTTACAATTCTAAGTCTTATTCTTTTATTCAGCTAAAGCCAGTAAGAAGTCTAACCTTCTCCAAGGCCAGAATCTGCTGTCTTTGTCGCTCATCCAGACTCTGTGTTTTGCTTTGTAGTAAGTTTCTTTCCTCTTCCAGTTGGGATAGTTTTTCCTTTAATCTAGACTTTTCTGATTCCAAATCTCTGATTGTAACTTCTTGAGTCATTTGGGTAGCTTGAAGCATTCCAATATGACCTAGAAACAACATAACTCTTTAAAACCTTGTGTCATTGTTCCCGTAATTGAAGTACAAATTAATTAATACTCTGGCAATTTCAAGAAGTTAGTGGAAGCTTACATGTTAATCTCTATTATCTTTACTGCAATGTTTACATCCCTTTCCATTTTACCCCTTTTTAGTTTTATCATAAAACATCCCACAGCTGTTGAGGACTTGGTGCTTGGGCTCCTTTAGTTTCAGTTTTCCTGGTTCAAAGTTGCATATTGACTCCAAGAGAAAGTAGAGGTAGGCAAGGGTATGAACATGCACAGTATGTCTCAAAAACTCAAGAGAACCTCACCTAAAGCTGCACATTTTTCTGTAGCTTATTGCAGGGCAAAAGAGAGCTGAACACTGAAGTCTAATGGTAAAGATGTTAGTGTTATCAAACTCATAATTTTACCACCATACTAGGTATAGCAGCTAAAGCTATGTAAAGCATAAAATTACACTACATTTTACTATGAGGATATGACTAAAAGCTGCAACAGAACTCATTCTCTCCATAGCAGGGCATGAGCTAAATCTCTGTGGGTCAGAGGCTTGCTTTTAATGTCTGTCCTGGTTTGGGCTGAGGTAGAGTTAATTCTCTTCATAGTGGCTGGTATGGTTCTGCACTTTGGATGAACACAGATATTCTAGTTGTTGCCGAGCAGTGCTTACACTGAGTCAGGCCTTTCCTGCTCCTGGTGCTGCCCTGACAGCAAGGAGGCTGGGGGTGCCCCAGGAGCGGGGAGGGGACACCAGCCTACACAGCTGACTCAACTGACCAAAGGGATGTGCTCTACCACACGGTGTCATGCTGAAGAATAAAACTGAGGGAGTTGGCTGGGGAGGTGCTGGGCATCAGTCAGCAGGTGGTGAGCAATTGCATTGTGCATCACTTGTTTTACTCCTCCTCCTTCCTCCTCCTTTTTTTTCCTCCTCACTTTATTATTAAACCATCCTTATCTCAGCTCACAAGCTCTTGTCCTTTTCAATTCTCTCTACCATTCCACTGTGGGTGGGGAGCAAGCAAATAGCTTGCATAGTGTTTAGCTGCCTGCCAGGTTAAACCACAACAGTTACAGAAGTTCAGCCATTTCTAAAGATAAACAGAATGACACATTAATTTCCCATGATAGACTTAGCAGTTTTCTCAAATCACAATATGAGTAAATACTTCATATGGTAATTAAGTACAAGAAGTCAGTTTCTTTGGGGCAAGATTTTTGACTTCCACATTTGAGCTGAAAATCAAAGGAGACAGCAGTAGGCCAAGAAGAGAAACCATTTCTAAACAAGGTGGTATCCAGTTTCCTCACATGGTAATGGCTTGGTGATCTGAGATTCTCTTACCAGGAAACCTATTAGTTTTATCTATTTACATCCAATCATGTCCCAGTTTGTCTCTATATTGTCAAAACATATCACCTAGACTACTCCAAGCCCTACCTTAGCTAGCTTGTGTATGCACTTATCCTAGACATTAAGCAGACACACACAGTCCTTCTGTACAGCTACCTCATTATTTGAGGGTCAGAAATAAAGCCTCGATACAGGCCACATTCACAATTCAAGGGCTAGGCCACATGTAACTAGGCCACCTGTGCTAGCACACTTCCAGTATTAGCACGTTAATGCTGGGAAACAGTTTCTGTCCCTAAAGCTGACTGGTCTAGTCTGGCAGCATCTCAGCCTTCAAAAGGAAGTGATCTTATCCAAACTGACTCTTGGGATGCACCCTGGGGCTTGTGCTAACTTCTGGAAAATAATCAGGTATTTCTATGATTGGTCTAGTTGAGTAACACTAAAGATAAGCCAGGTACTTATTTTTAACCTTCCTGCAGCATAGTTAACCAGGTTAAAGTCCATGCCCATGTCCCATCACTAAACAGTTCACCAGAGACACAACATTAATGAGGTGAAATCGAAATCCACACAGGTACAGCCAACTCCAACAATTTTCTATGCTTTTCCTTAGGCCAAAATGCAGTCAAGAAAACAGCTATAAAGAAAACCCGAACAAATTTATTAGCCAAAAAGCTGCTTATCTTCTGAAAGTAGGTGTAAAGCAAATTACCACTGTCTCAGCAAAACCACAGAGCAACAGAAAAAGGATGAAGAAACGGGAAGCATGTTTCAATAGTTACACAGAGAACAAAGAAATAGAAGACACAAGCATTTAGTACGAGTATAGTAAAGGCAACATATTTCAAGGCCTACAAGATACATACATGGAATACAAATACAAAATTTATAAAAGTACATAAAAAAGAATTTTAAGTACAGTGTATGCAATATCAAAACAGTCTATAAAAAACTTGTCAATCTTCTCTGCACGGTATTAAACAGTGTTTAGGCACTCTCAGCCTGCACAAGGATAAAAGAAAAAAGAAAGGCCAGAATTAATAAATGAAGTTCATTTCCAAACGATGTTACTAACATACATACTGGCTTTGAGAACGAGATCGGTGGCCTGTTGCTGTAAGCGTTCTCTAGCAGCTGCTAGCTCACTTTCCACTTCTTTGTGTTTGCTTAGCAATGACATCTCCTCCTCCTTCACATCGTCTAGCTGTTTTTGAAGAACCTAGAGGAAGCATGGTATAACGTCTTATTATATAGAATCATGTTTAAATTTAAATGAGCTTTTGGTGAAAATGTAAAGAAAAGACCTGTTAGCAAGCAAGTTTTATTCAAACAAAAGCTGAAATCTTGCAATATTGTCACCATACTCATTTTGTTCTACTTTTCCCAAAAAAGATCCACAGATACTGTATATATGGCATAACAAGGATGCATAAAGAGAAGTGTGACAACATTCAAAAAGGTGTATGAAAAATAAAAGTGGCAATATGGTCCACAGATTTTAGGGACCAATTTGAGATGCTTGTTTTCAGGTATCTCATAGTTCTTCAAATTGAAGAATACATTATACATGCACAGCAGTTTTCATTTTCCTTAATTAAACAGAGTTGAAAATGGACTTCTGGAAGATCCCTTGGGAAACTGAAAGAGATATTTGGTATTCATCTTCTGATACATCAAGAAGGTAGTCTTCTTTCACTATAGCCTGTACCTTTACACAAGAAAGCGGCAAAATATTGCATAAGATTGGCTGGAATTAGATATAAATGGAAAAAGCTAATAGTCTATCTCAGCTTTAACCAGTGATATCCTGGATGCTTCCAGAATTACTAAAATTTAAGGTACTTGGAAATTTGAGAGTTACTAAAACTGCTAAAGTCAAGATACTTAAGTTTCCTCACAGAGATTACTGATCTTCAGTAGCCTCAGACCTCCGCAGTTACCAAAATGCAAGTAGTATTTCACAGAATTTTTTCCTTCATGTCCAACATACCCTGTCCTTCCTTTCTGATGACCCCCCAAAAAAATCAGTCTTTATATTTATGGGATGTCTTGTCCTTCTTTATGGACAAGAAAGGTTAGTATTGAACAAAAACTTCTGTATCTAAATAATACTGAAAATACATGCAAGATTTCAGAGACTGCTAGTAAAAACATCCCTGGAGACTTTTTTATTATAAAGTTAAAATACATAAAGTTGGTTGTTTTTTGCTTTTTGCTTTTTGTTTTTTGTTTTTTTTCCTTGCCTCCCACAAACCTACTGTTCTCCATACCCAGGATGTTTTAGGCCAGGTAGTCATCATTGATCTCTTTAAGCACAACTTAGAGCTGCCAGGCAGAGAAGGACCTGGGAGTGATGGTGGACAGTCGGCTGAATATGAGCCAGCAGTGTGCTCAGGTGGCCAAGAAGGCCAACGGCATCCTGGCTTGTATCAGAAACACTGTGACCAGCAGGGCTAGGGAGGTGATCGTCCCCCTGTACTCGGCTCTGGTGAGGCCGCACCTCGAGTACTGTGTTCAGTTTTGGGCCCCTCACTACAAGAAGGACATCGAGGTGCTTGAGCGGGTCCAAAGAAGGGCGACGAAGCTGGTGAGGGGCCTGGAGAACAAGTCCTACGAGGAGCGGCTGAGGGAGCTGGGCTTGTTCAGCCTGGAGAAGAGGAGGCTCAGGGGTGACCTTATTGCTCTCTACAGATACCTTAAAGGAGGCTGTAGTGAGGTGGGGGTTGGTCTGTTCTCCCACGTGACTGGTGACAGGATGAGGGGGAATGGGCTAAAGTTGCGCCAGGGGAGTTTTAGGTTAGATGTTAGGAAGAATTTCTTTACTGAAAGGGTTGTGAGGCACTGGAACAGGCTGCCCAGGGGGGTGGTGGAGTCACCATCCCTGGAAGTCTTTAAAAGACGTTTAGATGTAGAGCTTAGGGATATGGTTTAGTGGGGACTGTTAGTGTTAGGTTAGAGGTTGGACTCGATGATCTTGAGGTCTCTTCCAACCTAGAAATTCTGTGATTCTGTGAACTGCACTGAATAAAGAATATTCATTATACTTATATTGACCGTTCTATGACATTCTTGTACAATACATTTCTGCAGCCCAGATAAATGTTTTTTCACCTTTTCTAGCAAGTGTTCCAATTTAACCAGCATAACATCTCAGTCATTACCATCCTCCACCATCCTCCTTCCTACTCTGAAACTTTTGCTTTGGGAGGTAGGGATGAATTTATGGGAAGACCCGATGTGAAGATTCAGCACTGCTCCATGAACGTGTGTGTTCCTAAGCGGTAATAGTTTTGAGTAATCTGTTGAGTACTTTCTGCACTTTGGGTAATATGGCTGGATCAACCAAGTTCCGGTCATGTCCAGCCAAAAGCAAGACACTTTCCCTGTATAAAGACACTAAAAATACCCCCTGGGCTTCTAGATTCTACTGGAATATAAGCAAATATGAATCCAGTCTGGGAAAATTAAATAAAATAATATAAATAAATAAATAACATTTAGAAATGGATGAAAATCAATTATGAATAGCAGAAAATTCATTTTACATGTTCCAAGCACCTCAACCTAACTTCCTGGCACAAAGACAGCCTAAATAAGAAAATAAAAAGAAAAAAAATCAGTCCTTGAAACAACGTATTACTGGCCTCACCTGAACATTGTTTTCTGCTGTACTAAGAGCCACTTGAAGTTTTTGGCATTTTTCCCGTAGACTTGCAGCTTCATCCTGGACCATTTGCAACTCAGTTTTAAGTTTTCCCAGGTTCTTCCGTAAAATACTTTCTTGGTTTTGAAATTCTTTTCTTAGCTCCACCTCTTTCTCTTTGCAAGCATGCAGACTTTCAGCTGTAAAAAGCTGAGATCTTTTCAAAGAATCAAGTTCATGTTCATAGAAGGACTGTGCTTTGCTGAGTTTGCCTTCGTAATCCTCAATGAGTTTTTTTCTTTCCAGTCTTAACTCCTCAACTTTATTGTTCAAGTCTTCCAGCTCCAGTCTGTGCAATTCCTCTAGCTTTTCTTGCCCCTTACTCAAGGTAGCATTCTGATTCTGTTGAGTCTTCAGAAGTTCTTGAATCTCAAGCCTATGTGCAGCTCTCAAGTCTTCCAGAGCTGTACGCTTGTCCTTCTCATACTGCACTTGCAACTGTATGAAACTTCGTAGCCTTTCCTCAAATTTCTTTCTAATCTCTTCTACTTCTCTTGACATGGTCACTACACGTTGGACATGCTGGGCTTCTGCACAAAGCTGCATATCCTCAACTCTACCCTTATATGCTTCAAATTCTGTCAAAGCCTGATGTTTCATCTTTTTATGATCTTCCAGTGACTCTTCCAAAACCTGGATCTTTCTCTTAAGATCCATTTCTTCTGCAACTTTACTTTTATACTGCAAGATCTTCTCTCTGGTCTCTGCAAGAATTTGCTGAATTTCTTCTTCATGGGCATCCTTAAGGGCTTGGATGGCAGCTTCGTGTTCATCATTTTTAGTGTTCAATGCATATATTACCTGCAGGTATTAAATAGCAATATACTGTGACAAGGCATTCTGGCATCCTAACAAAAAATAAAATAAAACAAAAAACAGCTTAGATACTTTGCTACTTTGACAATCTGGCTCGTTTTCCTGATACAAGTAAGTCACCAAACAGTCTTATCAATTTGACTGCATAAACTCTGTATTAGTAATTACAATTTTACACATTTTGTAGAATGGGCTTTTATGCTTTTTAACCTATAATCTTCCTGATCAAAGTTTTGCCTTTATAAGCATGCTGTTGCTGTAAACACTACTGGGTGAAAAAAAAAAAACACATTCAACATCTGAAAAACAAAACATTTATTTAAAAGAATTAAAAGCATTGCCTAGAAAGAAATGTGAACAGAAGTTTTCTATCAGAAAACAAACACACACAAGACAGTGTAAGTTCCAATTTCCTTTCATGTTGTAATGAAGTCTAAAACTCAAATTCCTTCTTTCCAAATGCTGACTGTTCTTAAATATTTTATTTTAAACAAACCTCAAATGCCAACATTGATTGCTGTGGTTTAAAGGCCTGCGGGTTGCTCGGATAGAAGTGGTTTTTTTTGACAGCTTATCTGGGAGACAACCTGCACAAAGTCTCCTAAGGTCTGAGGTCCCTGGCTATGTGAGCTTGCCAACTCCTCCGTTTGCAAGTCAGATGAACAGAAGGGTAGCTGGCAAAGCAGCCAACAGTTTGGGGAGCCCAGGAAGAGATGCAGCTCAAAAAGGTTGTGAAGCCAGCAAAACTACCTAACATTCAGTGCAAGTTTTACAGTAACCGGGTATATCCTATGGGATGTTTCAATTGCCCCCCAACATGGTAGTTTGTCTTTCTGGTTTTAAACCAAGTATTCTCATCAACACACAGAAGTGGGTGCAAATGTACCTATCAGTGAAGAAACTCTCTACACTGTAGTAAGTGGATTTTAATACAATATTTTGTACTCGTGAATCCAACAACCCACACACCTCCCAGATGTTAGAGGCAACAGAACTATAAAACACATCTGAACGGGGGGGAAAAAAAAAGACTGATTATAATATTTAATACATCTTAAATATGAATAATGAGAAGCAAAAAAAAAAAAATCAACAAAAAAGAGGCAGAGAATCTAGAAGAAAAGTGCCCTTTGGTTTCTTTGTGAGGACAGAACCTAGACCAGCCCTCTATTAGCATTTAACCAGGCAACAGAGGAGGATGCATTGACGGGCACTCAGAGCTGGGACGTACAAAGAAGGCCCATAATCACTCTCCAGGCACCAACTACAGAGCTTCTGCCGTCTGGTCTGCAGTCAAGGGTTCATATAAGTTAGACAGATCAAAACTGTTTCCACAAGCGAAAAGGCAAAGTCAAGCTTTTGTCCTGGTAACAAAGACAGTTATCATATTTTTCATTTTGTGTGTGTGTGTGTCTGTTTCTTAAAAAAAAAGACTCCAGGCATTATATTCTACATTTTATTGTCTAAAATCACAAACTTATCATACAGTCATCTGGACTGAGGGGAGGATGGGGGGGAGGTAGGGATGGGATGGGACATATCACTAAAAGGGCACAGGCTTTATTTCTTGTTTTTAATAGAATACAAAAAGTAAGTTCTGAAACATCAAATACAAAGGGGAAAAATACCTAAGCTACCTCACTCAACTTTATACAGCAGGGAAACAACTTTTTTAAAGATTACCTAACATTATTCAAATTCATTTTTTTCTAACCTATGTAAATGTTAGTTAGTGAAAGAGGAAAAATGGCTCTGCCATGCTTTTGGTGACTGTGATTAACATTGCTAATATCTCTGTAGGCAGCAGGTAGTCTTTTGGATTTCCCTAGAAAAAATAGGTTTCCTAGTGCAAATGAGCTTTGTAGCTCAGAGACTCAAAAATTTCCTCTAATACATTGCAAAAAAAATGACACTAAGTGACATGCAATTCCATTAACAGAATCATAATTATTGTTTTAATGCCTGGCACCCAAGGGTTTTCAACCTTTCATATTCTCAGTGGTTTTGGTGATCCCAGCAGGAACTTCTGAGTGCAAAGCTCTCCTCTCTCTCCTATCACCACCATACAGTCAAATTTCTCCATTACTGGAGAGTCAAGACACATCATTTGTCCAACCAGTCACAAAAGCAAGTACCACGTGTGCACATGCACCACACAGGTGCAAGGGCCCTGGTCTGGACCTTGTCCTGATTTACTGACTTATGTCCTGGGCTTCACCTTGCACCTGCCTTATGACCACAGCCTTGAGGCACACATGGCAAAGCGCACCTGACATGAATGTGAAAGACATTAGGTCTTCTTAACAGGTAGAATCTGCCTCTTTGTATAAATCTAAGCACATAAACTTTGAAGTGCCACCCATTAACAGGAGTAAGCTTTCTTCCAACTCCTAATTATTATCTTCACTGTGCTTACAGTTACCATACACAACTTCTCCACAGGACCTCAGACTCTTACAGCACAAAGCAGAGCCCTTACTTGTCTCTTCAGAAGGTCACCTCTTTATTTCTCCCTCATCAGCCACTCAAGTTTGAAGGTTTACCATACAATGGATGGCCTTAAATTCTGACAAATCTACCATACAGCGTGAGATTTTCTTCATCTCCTGCCACAGAACTTGGACCATTTGCACACTAACTGCTATATTCCTCATTTCTTCAGTAGACTATTAAAACTCCTGCTATCCAGTATCTGTGAAATAGAAGAAAAGAACTGCAGCTAAGGTTAACAAGGTGTATGGCATTCAAATAAAAAAGTAAAATGCTAAGTTTCCGAAAATTCAGAGGTAGAAAGGTTGCAAAAAATGGAGGAGCACAGATAAGCCAAGTTTTGTAGTCTTCATTTATGAACCAAAGGATGAGCCATTTCCTAAGCATGCTTGTTATATTTTTAAATTATAGTTTTAAAATTATAGTTTTAAAATTAAAATTTTAAAATACACTAGTATAACTGCATATTACCAAGAAGTATAAATTGCTCATGTTTTCCCCAGCTCCACTCTAAACGCATCATACACACTGCAGTCCTTATCAGATGGCATGAAAAAAAGTAGACTGTATTTTCAGTTAGTATGGTATTCCAGAAGTACAGACCAAACTGTCTCCAAGAATACTGTGGGACTATCAGCTAGAAGTCTTAATACTTTTTATACAAAACAATAACATACCTAATAAGAATCCAATGAAACACTATGTGTTTTGGTCTGAAGAACTCCAACAGAATTGGTGACAAAAACAGTAATGACTTTTTTATACCAAGGACTCGGCGCCGGCATGTTTAGTTGTACTTCGTGTACTTCGTTCAGCAAGTCTTTTGCTGCGTTGGCATCTTGCACCACATGGAATACAGACAACAGCATTCAACACTTTGGCTGAAAGATGAAGTTTGACTACTTGGCTGAGAATCATTTTTGGCTCCAAACCAGATGTTATACTCTTGCATATTCAGCTGCACTTGGGTCATCTGTTCCTGCCAGCAATTCCATCGTGATGGAATGAATGCTTTTCCAATTAAAAATGGGTATCTCACCTTAACTCTAGTATTAGGTGCCAAATATATTTTGTAGCACAAAAAAAAAAAAAAAAAAAAAAATCACCAAAAATGACTGTGGTTCATTTTCTTCAGGTTTGCATGGAAACAGGAACTCATACCTATTAGAAAAACATGCAAAGATGAACCTTACATCTCTGGTAAACCTTCATTTTGGACTTCACAGGTGGATCCTTGTGGCCTGAACCACCAGAGACTCTAGAGACACCCGAAGACTTGGTCTGTGCTACATCTCTTTTTCATGAGCTGCAAAAAAAACTACAGTGCCAACAAGGAATTGCTCATGCATAACTTATTAATGTCTTGGAACACACAAACCAATGAGCCTAACCTACCCCTTCTAGCAGTGGATAAACAAGAATTGAGCTGCTTCACACAGGAAGTAGTAAAATATACTGGGAAACATTAACAAAGCTTTTCTAGGGGCAAGTCACACCCCACAGATACAGCGGAATACAAACAGAAAACTAAGTAAACATTGACAAGAGACATCAGAAGATCTTCCAGGAATTAATTTTATGTAGTAACATCTACTACAGTCCAGAACAATCACACACTTTGTTACATTTCCCCCTTTTCTTCCTGTCTGTTCACAAGTAGGTATGCTACATTTAAGTACTTAAAACGTATGTATTATGACCAATGAAACGTCAAGTAAAGACAAAAGACATAAGATAACCAGTCCAAATCCTGAAAAAGTTCGTCTTTATTAGACAAATTTCTGGTCTGGAGCTGTAAAAGCAGTGTCCCCCTCCAACAGCATCTGTCCAAAACAGCCAGTCAAAGTACTGTACCAGTATTCCTTTGCACTAAAATCCAAGTAGGGCAAGAACTTGACATTTCCCCCCATCCTTGAAGTGTACTGCTACAAGAAAATTTACTGTAAAACACCCTTGAGCTGTTCAGTACAGTCTTTGTACATTAACCAAATTTATGCCTAATTAAAATTCATTACTTATTTCCCTTAGAAACTCTGAAAACAAATACCAACTTATTTTTACTTGGGAATGTTTGTTGCTGTAGTAATCTCGAATGCCTTCTGTGTAAAAGGAATTGTTTAGAGGATGGTGACATGAAGTTCAGCATAATTTATTTCCAAGCAGAACACATCAACAGATTTCCACTTCTACCTAACATTCAACCTTTGAATGAAAACAAATTATGGGGAGGGGTTCACTTGCACATTTACTGTGAAACATTTACACTTAATTTTCTTTTAAAAGAGAAGTCTTGATAAGTCAGGGGACATACAATGTTCACTAGCAGCTAAGCAAGGCAAGCAGATGTGATGTCAGACAAACAGAAATACAGATGAAATGGCAAGAGCTATTTGAAGATACCAGTATAGTCCCGTGAGAGTGGTTGAATATTCAGTTGATTAACATTAGCCACTGACTGGAAGTAGTGTATAAGATGCATGTTAAAGAAAGCTGCA